GGGGGGGGAGTGATGATGGCACACGTTTGCAAATTATAAAAAAAAAACCAAACCTAGATTCTAGTTGGGACCGCGCGCCCGTGGTCTAGGGGTTATGGTGTTTGCCTCCCAGGTTCGATTCTGGAAAGCAACGGAAAAATAACCTTCTCAAAAATGTTCTCCTTTCACCTCCTTTCCCGCTCTCTAACCATGTTCTGTCTTCTGCTTTCGTCTCCACTTTCTGCCCCCTCCCCCTCTGGGCTCCTGACTCTTTCTGCAGCCTTTCTACTGCCACTCCTCGGCTCCTTCTTACTTCTGTCTTTTATTCACACCCCTGTTCTTATGGTTGATAAGATCTAACATCTAGCCTTCTTGCGCAAGGTTTCGCGTGTTAAAGATCCCTTGGTGGTCCTAAATTTGTTAAGAGTAGGCTTCAGCGGCCACCCGAGTGGAATTCAAAATTTTCTACCAACTGAAAAATGTCGCTCTATCATTTGACCTTATGCAGTTGCATGCGCCGTAAAACACTTAAAATTTTTTTAAAAAGAATTCTTGTTTATTATTTTCCTTTTAAAAACTAAAACACTTTGGAACTTGCTGAATTAGTCTCTCTTTTTAGAATCAAAGCTTACACGTAGAGCCCTGTGCCATATCTTATTGTAAGGTCAATAGTTGGTAACGTTTTAAATTTGATAGCACATTACCAGAATGAATAATCATTATGTTGTTTCGGATTTCACACGATATTTTGTTAATTTCTGCATTTTCTACAAAGACAGCGCACAGAGCATTAACATGTTTCATATTCAATCTTTATGTCTTTTTATGTTTTTGCTCCGACTCTATGAGTGGATGGTTGGTGGGCACTCTAGTGTAGTTTGCTCTTTCTTTCCCAACAAGTATCTATCCTCATTCTCTTTTTTTCTTGTTTTCTTTGGATGTTACCCTCTCTAATAACACTTCTAATCTTTGGCTTTTATGTGAACTATTTGTGTCGCAAGTGCCATAAAACCCTTACCAAAATCTAAAATTACCCTTAATAAAGTGTCTCGACATCTTTCTCGTTCACAGAGCTGAGAAGTCGGAGGTTCTGTCCGAAGACCAGCAGGAGAATGAGAAGAGAGTGGAAGTGGTCAAGCATGCCGTCCAGAACATTGTCAAGAAGGCGGGGGCTGTGCTACAGGCCCCGGGAACGGACTATGACAAGAGGCTTGTGAGTTGTGGGACTTTTTGTCAACCATACTTGAATTTTCTAAAAGAAATTGGTTTAATTGTTTTTAAAAAATCTAAATTTCATATGTACTGTGAAATTGTAAATAAGTGTAGTTTTTACCATATTTGCGCCGCTGGATCGGAAAAGTAAAGTAAAAGTAAAGTTACCATATTATTTGCTCAGAATTTTGTAAATGTTAATCCATCCTTTGATAAATAATTGTTGTACAGGCTGGTGATTATAACATCTTTTTTTGGCGCTTACAACAACCAAAAGTTTGTCAATGGTGCCAAAAAATATCTACCCAGTCAGTCAATGAAATAATCAGTCAACCAATCGTACTTCATAGTTGGCCGCAATATTTTATTTTCCTTTTTAGGTTGAAAATATTATTAATGAGTGGCTGGGGGGCTTTACTTGCAGGTCCTGCTTCTTTTTTTCTCCCCCTCTGCTATTCCTATCTGTTTTTCTGGCTCTTTTCTTGTTTTAAAATATGACCACTATAGTGTCAATGTTCTTTTTCTTTACTCAAATACAGACAAACTGAAAAAAAGGGCCGTAAAATATAACACTGAGTCAAAGTTTGCACTTGGTAAGAGCAGGGCATATGATATGGGGTTGGTTTTTCTCTGTGATTATTTTCATATACATGTATATAAAAGACTCCCTGTTTGATATTCTCTGCCTTGCAAGCCTGGAGGCTCTGGCATGGTTTGTTGATTCGCCTTGTGTTGTATGTTTCTCTGTAATTTTGGACTCTATCAACGTGTGGGGTACAGGCTGGTGATTCATTGGAGCTTGTTCTCTTTTCTTTAAACATTTACTCTGCACATTTCTATATTCTTCCCATTAGTTTGCAAAATGTGTCATGCTCTTTTTAGCACAATACAAGGTTGAATAGGAAGTGTTTCTTTGACATAAACAGGATGCCTTCCGACAAGTGTGTAAAAGGTCAGTCGGAGAGATAGTTTGCTTCTGGTTTGTTTTAAACAGACTGAATATATTGAAAGTGGAAAAGTGTGTGAAGAGTTTGGAGGGGGCTACCTGGCCACTGCCCACCTCTTGACTGGCTACATGGGTAGAGTCTGGGGTTGTTTTTTTTTTTGGGGGGGGGGTTTAGAAGGGGGGGGGGGCTTTGAAAAGTTGACACCTATTGATATAAAGTTCATCTAGCAGTTGGTTGGAGGGGGTCTAGCTGGCCTTATTTCTTTTTCCATCCCCTCTCTTGTCTCTGGCTGTCTCTTGTTTCCTTTGCACTAGATGACCCTTATTGTGGAAACGTGCGTTGTCTTTCTCAAATTTAAAAGAAAAAAAAAGTTATCTCCAATTGAACTGAACAAAGAGGATGGAGAGTCATAAAAACGTAACCGACATCTGTGGTGTAGCAGTAAAGTGCTCTGCCATCACACTTATGAGACCTGAGTTTGGTTCTGGAATGGGGAAAAATATTTTATTGAGAACCACAGTCTTTCTGCTGGAATGTTGTGTCCCTGTCAGCCCGGGTTGCCTGTTAACAGGCCAGGTCGGAAGCCGGAAGCCCCCTTCTAAATGATGTAAATTGTGTCAACGAGTGTGTAAAAGCACATCAATTAAAAAAATATATAGCTTAAATAGAGTAAAAACACATCAAAGAGCACCTCTTCCAGAGTGTCCCATTTCATAGAGATACAATCGAGGGTCACTTTGCACTGTAAAGTTTAGTATGATGCCTACTCAACTTAATGTGTGCCTATGTTCAGTTGTCTTTATCTGCTTCCTGTCATATATCATAGGACCTAATGATGTTGATTGTGCTGTACTGTAAAACTATAAAACAAAAAAATTGGCCCCAAAAGTCAATATCAATAGCCAGCAAACTATGAATGGAGATTACTAGAACACTTTCTTTTTCTTTTAAACTCTAATTTTTTTTTGCCACTTACTCTTTTGTCTAACTGTTCCTTACAGAAAAAGTTGCCAGAGACTGGTCTTGGCCATGCCATGATTGAGTCAGCACAGAATCTGGGACCAGAGACCTTGATGGGGTATGTTGTTCAATGAAGTCCCGGATTTTTCTGCAAAAAGCATTAATTTAAGCAAATCCACAAATCAACCAAACTTAAGATTTGGAAAAAAATCTTTGTTTCAATTTTTGTTCGCCCTCCCCCCCATTAAGTCCCTCTTTATTTCCATAAGTTTTGAGTTTCCATTTCTGAAAACATAAATGATTATGAGAAAGTTTGATGCTATTAAAAGAAAATGTTTAAACATGTACATCTTTTTTGTGACAAAGCAAACTAAAAGGTTACCTTACTAACTTGTGAATAAAAATCTCTCTAGATTCTAGTACTCTACAATGTTGGCATGCTACTTGAACCCCAGAAGAAGGTTAGGTTAGATTTTTTTTTCCACCCCCAAACTGTAATCATGTTCTAAATATTCTTTAGAACTTGTAGCAGTTTTTAGAGATGCCCTTGATCCGTTCTATTAAAGATCAATGGATGTAATCTATATGTGCCAGGTTACAATATTAATTTCTTAATCGTTCACTGACGCTGATAATTTTATTTCTCCTGACTAAATGTTTTGCCGTAGTGTTTTATATTATGAATTTTGGTGTTTTGTCCTCTTGTTGTGCTGTTTATGTACAGTGTGTATTCAATAACCTACAACTTGTTGATATTGGAAGTATACTAGGTACTGAGTAACGTAAGAAATTAGAGTTTTCTTACCAATCTAGATACGTTGACATTTTATGTAATTATAACTTCTAAAGTTTGATGTGTATTTGTCTTCAGTGCAGAAGTGCAACATAATTGATCTGTTGTGATTTTAGGCCAGAATTAGCCTCTTCCCTTTCCACGTTTTCTCATTCAAGTCATGGCGTCGAGATTTTTGATGTTATGGTTTATGATTAATCAGTTAATCAGTTTATTTCAAGGCATAGCCAAAAGCATATGAAGACCTCAGGTGGTAAATGTTATTAGTCATTAGTCACAGAAAAAATACTAAGGATCATACTGCCTTTCTTTTTTAATGCCTCGTGATTACAAGCATCTGATGGAAATAGTATTGATAAACAAAATGGAAAAAGCCAAACAATAGATAAAAAAGACGACAAAAATTTTTTATTCTGACTTCCACCATTTTCCTTCTGCAAATTCATATGCTTAAGCTATACACTTACCGCCATATGAAAAAAACGCTCACAAATTAAATGTGTATTGAGAAATGCAATGTATACACTTGTATTATTTTATTCTCCGTGTACATAGTATATTAATTCTTCGTAGTCCATGTTTTCTTAATTGGAAGTGAAGATTTAATGACTGCATTTCTGCCTGAATTAAAGGTTAGGAATATGTATATGTGTGTGTGTATGTACTGCCTAGATGTCCATATATATATATATATATCTAGAGAGAGAACGGTTTTGTCTCCTGTAGATCTGCATGCCAGATATGTGGGGAGTGTCAGATTGACCTAGCCCGGGAGCAAGTTCACTTTGAGACCACCGTGGAAACAGAGTTCTTGGCTCCTCTTCAGAACATTGTTGATGTAAGTTGAGTCGCCGTCTTTCTGATTGTCTTTGTTCTGCTATGTCACTTGTTTTGTTTTAATTATTTTTTTTTTCTTCTTTCTAATTTTGGTGGTGACTTTGTGCAGGTCAACTCTTTGTTGAGACTTTTGGGTGCATTTGTTCTCATGTTTTGGCTTATCAGGCTGATATAATGATATACAGAATAAACTATTATTATAGACAGCCTAGTGTTCAGGAAGTTTGTAATCAGCTCTAACAATTTTAACTGTTTCAGTTTCCGTCTTAAAGTTCTATTTTTAGAGGGCACAGGTTTGGGAAATTAGCTTTTTTTGGGAACGGGAATATTATATTATTATGCAAAATAATCAATTATCTAATCCATTAAGACATTGACTGAGTAGCTGAAAGACTGAGATAATCAAATAGAATGTGTCCAATATTTATATTGTAATGAAATGTGCGTGGTGTACAACTGTTGTCGAGATTGCACCTGTACCTTTGTTTATCTGTGGATTAATGCAATTTACTGTTTGTACTGTTAGAGGGCTGGGAAATAAATTTAAAACACATCAAATCAAAGAGCACCTCTTCCGGAATGTCCCATTTCATAGAGATATAAATAAGTGTTCGTTTTGGTATTGTGTCACTGACCATCTAAGATAAATAGTGTAGTTAACAACATTTGAAGGAGTGTTGTGGGACAGTGAACAGGAAGGGGGGGGGGGGGGGGTATGCAGGACAAAGTCAAATCGAGGCATTTTTTTTATCGTATAGTGCATTCCTGATTATTAAAAAGTGAAGACAATTACTCCAACTTTATCTCTTGTTTCAAAAGCAGTGATTGCTTTCCTGTTTGGTTTAGAATATTTTTCTGTGTTTTGGTTTGCTGTAAGTTGAAACATCATTTGCCTAGCTGGGAAAGGTGTTTGTTAAACAGTCTTGTAAAACTGTTGAAAGAAACATACACAAGGATGCAAGACAGTAATTTTGTCTCTTCTGTTTCACTGAAGTGTTCACAGAATGGGCTTGTCTTTCCTCGTATTTGTGACTTCACTTTTCTGTTCTTTTAACGAACCCTTTTTTAAATAGACTTTTATCATTTTGAAAGTTAAGCATACTTACTTATATTTTGAACATAAACACCAATATTAAGCTCCACAATTTTGTAAAAATCTGAATTAAATGAGTACTTTGTTTTTGCTTTTGGCTTTTATAGTTGGAATTCTTGATGATGAGAGTATAATTTTCACAACTATCACTGGAATTTTTGATGATGAGAGTATAATTTTCATATTTATCACTGGAATTTTTGATGATGAGAGTATAATTTTCATATTTATCACTGGAATTCTTGATGATGAGAGTATAATTTTCACAACTATCACTGGAATTTTTGATGATGAGAGTATAATTTTCATATTTATCACTGGAATTCTTGATGATGAGAGTATAATTTACATAACTATCACTGGAATGCTTGATGATGAGGGTATAATTTTCATAACTATCTTTGGAATTCTTGATGATAAGAGTATAATTTTTCTAATTATCATTGGAAATCTTGATGATGAGAGTATAGTTTTTATAATTATCTTTGGAATTCTTGATGATGAGAGTATAATTTTCATAACTCATTGGAATTCCTGATGGTGAGGGTACAATTTTCCTAACTGTCATTGGAATTCTTGGTGATGAGTGTGTCATTTTCGTAACTCGAAGTCTGAAGATAGGTCGACTGTGAGAAACTGAGGCTGTGTTTTGTTTTCCCATTGGTGTCCAAGTGGCATGCTACTCTCTCCATCCTGCTTGTCTCACTGACCTTTGTGTGCCTACTAATTGTTTTGACCTCTCCCACATGAAATACATACACACAACAGAGTCGTAGTCTAGTGAGTACTGGTTTGTTGTATCCCAGCCAATTTTTTTCGGTTTTGTTTGTTTGTTTGTTTGATTGGTTTTTGTTTTTTTTGCTGTTCAAACTTTGTTTGAATATGTAAGAAGAGGACAGGAAGCGTCCGTCCCCTGTGTGGAGTACTACTGTGTTCCATCTCGTGTGTATTTCTGTGTGAGCTGTTTCCTGTCGTGTTTGTTTGTTCGAATGTTGTAGGGAAGACTGTTGTTCAATGTTGTCCTTTGTTTGTTGTGACTTTGTGTTGAATATGGACGTAGGGAGGGACACTTTAGTAGTTCATGATGCCACTATGATGTTGTAGCTTACAGACTGCACTGATGATGGGGTACTGTGCAGTAGTGTAGATTGAAAGCCCCTTTTTTTAAAGCTTTGTGCAATTACTTAAGAGGCACAGAGTCCAGCATGCTGATACTTGAGCTGATAGCATCCCTCCTCTAAATAGTAATTGAATTTCTTTTCTATTTCTTTTTTGTTTGTGGTATTTAATAATATAATAATTAGTTTTGTTTTGTTCTGAAAATGATAAAGGCAGCAGAGCTGCTTTGCTATCGTCATTTTATAGCTGAACCACTTTGTTGATTACGATATTAGTTGCAATAATGATAATTGTGATAATAGATTCTCTTGCATTTATATGGGGTGTATCTTTGCTCAAACGTAGGCTTAATGTGCTTTACAAATTATTTTAGTCCTGACAGACCATAAAAATACAACATGCTATAGTGTAGCATTATTTTTATTTATAGGAAAAGAAAAAGACTACATACTGTAACAAAGTGAAGATCGGAAAATATAAGAAAGAAGGAAAGCAGATTTGATAGTCATCAAGTTTTAGACATACTTATCAGGAAATATTACATGTATATTCCCTATGTATATAGTTGCGCTGTATGGCAGTGAAGCAAGTAACAGTATTTCTTATATCTCTAAAAAGGGAAACAGTCTCATTGTTATTATCTTACTTGTCAGAAATTTTGTAAATACATTTCAAGGTGAGTGCTGCATTGAACTGACTTGAGAGGTAGATGTATCTTGACAGCAGAGTTTCGGGGTCTCAATTTATCAGTTCTTTGAGAGTGATTCTGTGAGCCCTGATAATGGAACATGGACATTTTGTGCTGCAGTTTTGGAAAATTTGGTTGTAAACAAACTTCCGTGTCTATTTCCATATCTATATCTCTTTACTTCTGTGTGCTTCGTGGTATTTTGCTTGTCTTTGAAGCTCAGCGGTTGTTGAATATTTCAAGCGGAAGTTTCATGTTCCAAGTTCCATATGTCTTTGTTTCTTGTTACTGTTTATTTTGTTGTTTTGTTTGGGAGAGTGGCTACACACAGACAAACATGTCCAGTTTAGTAGATTAAAATAACCTATGGATGAATCATGAAAAGTGTTGGGTTTTTTCCCCCCTCTGTTTTTGATATCTGTGACTGATATCTAATAGGGGTCACTTGAAAACCTTTCCAACTCCTTTCACCCCCTTGTTTTTTCCTTAGTTTTCTCCCCCGCCCGGCTTCCTGTCTCCCTTTTTTCCCCTTTGTCTTTTATTTCTTAAAAAAAAAGAGAAATAGTCTTAGTGGTCCTGAAATCTTTTCATGGTCAGAGACCGAGGAAATTCCTCAAACACTTTTTAGTTTGTTTGTTAATCTTTGTTTGCTGGGTGAATTTTCTTTGCTCTTTCTTTTGTTTTTTCCCCCCCTTTGGTTTTATTTGCTCAATATCTTCAGCTTCTTGTAAAAATGTCTCGTGATCGTTCATGAGAGATGTGGTGTGATGCATGAGCTCTTTGTTTGGAAAACAATAAGGCAAAAGGAAGGGAAATTATTTCATCATCAAGAATTCTCTTTCACTCTTTTTTTTTGTAATAGACAGTGTTGTGTTTATTTCAAAAGCTTTGTTTTAATTTAATTTTATATATATATATATATGTATGTGTCTTTTTATGCATGGTGTTCTGTCATTGTCATTTGTGACAAAGAGGATGTAGGCTGGTGAATGTCTGTGGAATTATTTAGGAGGGACTGGTTTGTTTTGTAGGTCTGTGATGAACATTTATAAACCTGTAGAATATGACACTTATCATTTCTTATATGGCTCTCTCTCTTTCTCTCTCTGTCTCTCTCTGTCTCTGTCTCTGTCTCTCTCTCTCTCTCTCTCTCTCTCTCTCTCTCTCCCT